GATAAAAATTTAATCCATCATCTAAAGTCATAATTTCTTTAAATAATAAATGACAAAAACACTTGGAAAATGAGTTACTTTGATAAAAATATGTCAGTATTGAAATGCCAACCTTTTTTCGAAAAAATTCTAATTAACAAGCGAATAAATTTTATTTTTACAATTTTTTTTTTTGTTAGTAGACTGGGTACTAAAAAAAATTAGAAATTTTTTTTGCTTGAACAACGAGAATAGTCTTTGTTTGAAAACTATAGAAAAAAAAAATTTTCCTACAATTATTTAAAGATAATTAAATATATGTTTATATATATACTCTTATTTTTCCTTTTACCTCTTAGAGAATTAAGAAACAGATTTCGACGCTTTCTGAATAGAATATTTCATTGAATGCTTAAATTTGTTTCAACAAACGAATGATTAAACTTTTAATACACTCTTGTAACATTGATTAAAGTTAGTAGTATTATACATAATTATCTATTGTTATTCTTAAAATTGACAATTATTATCTTTATGAAGGGGTTTCCAAGTATTTAAATATTCGGGTTGATAAAAATTTTATGTTACTAATACTAATTGCAGCATTAAAAACTTTGGTCTGTGTAGATACATCTCCAAGACCATTGAAAATCCTTCACCCTGACGGTTTTAGACAATCTAATCAACGAGCCGTCTAAATGACTACTAATCATAGGCAAGCAAAGGTTAGTCAGATAGAAGAGGTTGAGCAGTGCGGCTACAACGACCAGGTGAATTATCAATTAGTGAAGCTACTTTATCTTTTTACACCAATGCGTACCTATGTCAATAATTATAATAATTTAATTCCTATCTTCGAGTGTACAGGCAAAGCTAAGAAGTCGAGCCATAGAGGGAAAAAGACTCAGATGTCTTATTCCGCGGTTAGCACTCGCAAGGTATAGACATGGCTTGTGCCGCATATTTATGCCATCTACTTATACCTTCATACTACGTACATATTTATTAATATACCTCTGATGTTTGATATACAACTTTATTATTGAAAATTTACGAAAGTGCCATAGTATTACGTAAGATTGCAAAATCTATCCAAAAATAAGGCTTTCTTTGTCGTCTCGATGACAAAAGTGAGATTTAGTCAACGAAATCTTCTATTCAGACTGCGTCTAATACGAGTAGTGGTGGATTAGTAGTAATAGGCGGTTAACGTGTTAACACTTGCTTACACTTTGAGGGTGGCCTTGGGGGACCAGTGATGAAAACGTGACGGACCGCTCGGGTACGAGGACGAGTGAATCCACTTGCTGGCGCGATGGCCACCAATGAAGGGTGGAGGCGAGGGACCTCCGATAAAATGGGGTGGCATGACGTTGTACCAAGGCTGGCTCATGGGGTGCGGGCCGTAGCCCATAAACGAGTGGTTAAACCAGGAGCGGTTACGATTTAGGTGTAGCCTTGGACTATTCAAGTTGCGCCGCTTATTCGGACCATTGTTGTTGCTATTGTTATTATTGCTGCTACTGCTGCTGTTAGTGCTAGAGTTGCTGCTGCCATTGCTTGTGGTGTTGGTGTTTAATTGATTCAATGGTTTTGATTTTTGTTGAGAGTTATTTGTTGTCTCAGAATTAGAACCAGGTTTCTGAAATGATAATATTAATTAAGATTTTGAAAAAATGAAGGGGAAAAAAAAGACGTACCTCTTGGTTTACCTGTTTTACTTCCTTCTCGATTTTCTCGATACGTTTTGTTATTAGAGGTACCATGTTTTCCTTATCATCGAAAGAGGCTAATGTACAATACGATCCCTTGCTCTCCCCGAATCGGCAACAAACTTCCTTAGGATCGACCCACAGTGTCAATTCGACTGGTAGTGACAAATCTTCGTATCGAACACCCGCAGCGTTCGCAGCTCTTTCTATTGTAGCGTCTCGCCGATTATGTCCATTTACGCGTATGCATCGGTACCCTTGACCTTTAATGATACACATTTTTTTTTTATTCTGATTCGGTAATTATCAATTCCTATTCATGAATGTAGTTTTTCATTATTTCTATTAAATTGAACCCAACTGAAGGTAAAAATGATAAATAAGCGAGAAAACAAAAATCACACGAAATTGCATAAACAAAACGAAAATCAGCAAAATACGTGATAAGAATCACACAACGGTTGATAAATTTTTAAAAAGAATCTAAGATCGTTAATGTATTTAACAATTAATATTTTAACTTTGTACAAAAAATCTTTCAATTTTGTATCCCGAGATAGTCCAAGATAGTAAATTGCGACACCGATCAAGCGAATTAGTCATCAGCAAAAATGAACAGGTGCAAGTACTATTCAATAATAACGTGTACCTTTGAAGGGCTTGTCGGGAAACCAATGATCCTGAAAGCGCTCAGTCATCAGTTCGACCATCCGGCGCTGAAAGCAGTCCAGCTGGTCGGGACTAAATTTTTCGTTTTTTTCTATAAGCTGCACCAGGAACAGCACCGCCGCTGAAATCTCGTTGCGCATGATGTTGTCCTCGCGAGCAAATTTTCGTCGCTCAAGTGGCCCGACAAGTTTCTTTTGATTATTAGCTTTTTTTCATCTGCACATTTGGAGCACATAGAGCTCTCGAGCGACACTACAGCTCTTTTCGTGACTTTGTATCTTATTGTTTGTTTGCTAATATTGCTAGTCTAGTAAATACGCATGTATTTGCCCGCTGTGTCGTGAGTGAGTGGTGCGATGCTCTGCGCATATAAGCTTTTTTTTTATAGCTATTTTCCTTTCCTTAAAGCGTTGTTTTGGACAAGACGAAAATTTTTTCTTTCTTCTATTTTCGATGCAACTTATTTGCAGGAGTGTGATAAGATTATCTGCAATAACGAGAAACGTTTAGTTTGTTTAGTTTCGACAAACGCATATATTTATATTCTTGCAATTGAAATCTTAAATCGAGCTTTGTTTGCGACTGTAAAGAAGTTGAGAAATTCTCGTGCTGTTTTAATGATAATGATAATTTTTATGACTCTTTCGACGAGCCATTGTGTTTCATTTATCGGTCGATCGATCGGTATCATCGTGTTGTTTACAATAATACTATATCTTTAAAATAATTGTTTGCGAAAAAATATGTGCTTTTTTGTGAGCTTTAAAAAACTTTTTTTTTTTTTTTTTTTTTTTTTTTTTTTTTAGGCCATTAGATATTGAAACAAACGAGGTTACATGTATATTTATTATATTGGATTTTAAATAAGACATTTTAAGACTTGAAGTTCAGTAAAACCTAGTTTGAAATGATTCATCTGAAAGAANATTATACAAACAAAGTGAAAGAGAGCGAGGATTTCTCAAAGACAATGATATTTGCACGGATTAAAAAAAAAAAAAAAAATTATTCTCTTTGGCTGAGCAGTAACAGCTGTTTCGTACAGACGACAATTTGTATTATTAACAATCGGTAGTCACGAATAACACGTACAAAATACCCTCGTATAAAAAACAGAGCCGTTCCATTAAAACTTTCCAACTCACAATCCGAACATTAACATTAAAAACTGCGGAGATACTTTATTTGTTTGGATATTAAAAAAAAAAAAAAAAAAAAAAAAAGAGAGACGATTACGCACGAGTGCACCCACACACAAACGCACAGGCTCGCGTGTTATATTTATACGTATCAGAGTCGAATCATTGCTATAATATGGAAGTGAGTTTCATTGAAATTGAATAAACGAACCAAAAGTAAAATGTTGCCCAACAAGTTTGAACATCGAAACAATTAAGTACTCCCTTTCTCTACTTATCAAATTAATTACTTGGCCTTGACAAACGCACACGTATGTATAGTTGCGCTATAATAAAGAAGTAAAAAAAAAAGAAGATGCATGATGATGTACAAGAAGAAGACGGCGCAAGTGGCAATAGCAAGAGCAATAAACTCATAACAAGTCAACAGCCCTCTGTCCGTGTCCGACCCTCGCGCACTCTTCTATGTAGGTATATGTAGGTATATCGTCACCCGGACCCGTTCCGACTCCAAAAAGTTGAACCCGCACCCGCATCCAGTTTAAGCCATATCTTTCGAAAGAGCTGCTGCTGGTGCATAAGTGGATGCATATATATATATATATATGTGTTTATGCGACTCCAGAAAAAGTCTCCCGCTAAGCACTAATAAGTAATATGTGCGCACCAGAGAGAAAAGAGCGTCTGTCTCTCGACACTCTCGAGGAAAAGAGTGTTCATTCGTGTTGTTACGTAGTGCGACTTGTACGAGTGAAAACTGGAGCGAATGTGGTATACATGTAGATTTACACTTGCACACGCATGCAATGCATCAACCAACCGTATATACAACCATATACAACACAAACAGACGGACGCTGACGACGCTCTCTGCTGTTGCTGCTTGCTCGCGCGAGAGAGGCGAGAAAGACGTGTATGTGGAGTTGGATATTGCGGAGAGAGAGGCCCCGATTGAACGTGGGTATATATAAATATATGGCAGCTGGAGAGCTGCGGCGTGATGGAGGCCAGGACGATGTTTTTGTATTACAAGAACGTGTATATAGGTATACGCTGGCTGGAGCTACTTGGAAAAGTTGGAGCAGGGGCCCGTTTTGGTACATCACAAGCTGATGCAACCCCGAAAGTTGAAGCCCACAGGCGAACAATATGTTGATATTCCCTAATGAGGTTACAGGTATGGCGCACGAGAGACAGGGTTTAAAAGGAACGCGTGTCCGTCGCGGTGGTCTTGAGCTGCATCATCACTCGGTTCAATCAATTTCGGAGCACGTACTTATATATTTATATACCCCCTTCTTTGTAAGCGATCATATCCACGCGGTTCGTTTCTCTCGCTCTCAACTTGCCGACGACGAAGACGGCGGCGACGAGGAGAAGATGAAAGAGAAAAAAAACGTGCTTTTGATTTCGGAGCACTTGCTGGGTACATGTGTTTATTTAAAACGATTCAGAGAGAGAGAGAGAGAGAGAACTCGGAGGGGGTGACCGGGAGGAGAGAAAGAAAGGGTCACCTGCAGTCACAGCAGTACACCACATAAGTATGCCTTATAATAGAAAATGGTATAAAAAAAAACAGCACGAATTTCGCCAGCTCATTCTCTCGGTCAGCGCGAGCATAAGCTGTATCTTACACCCGACGACGATGTTTTTTCTTGTACTCTCTGGCACTTGCTTTATTTGCTCTATCTCTTATTGCGATTTACAAGCGACGGTCTCGTTCGCTCTCTTTCACTCGGAGATCGCAAAAACGGAAAGGCTCACTTTTTTTTTTTTGCAACACACGCGTGCACGTATATACAATACTTACAACGTTATACGTATTGGGTATATATATATTGTTCTTGTATGGGCTATATATCGTTTAAAAGGCCCCTGACCGACCGTGCTCCGAAAATGAGCCCAAGCTTATGGGGACCAGCCAGCTGCTGGTGCTACAAGCTTGAGCTACATGGGTATGCTTATATGTACACACTGCAGATATCATGATTCGAAGCTTACGTTTGGTGTGTGCGGTGCGAAGTATTTCGTTGATCAGGCATTGATGAGGACAATCCGAGAAAGTCGACAGCAAGCGGAGATGAATAAACATAAATAAGGGAAAAAAAACGTGCGAGGAACTGGCAGCCTCCTCGTTAAATAAACGCACTACTACTGACTTGACTTGACTCGCTCGTTCGCGCGTGAGCAGCGCAAACTCGCTCCGATCCGCTCTCTTTTGGAGTTTGTACGAGGGCGGTGTGAAGGGTGAGAGGAGAAAGCACTGCGCAGCACACAAAGAGTGGTGGGAGAGTTATGTACGTGGGAGGAGAGGGCTCTGAGAGGAGAGAGAGAAAGAGGGACAATAACACGTGTTACGGTTCGTATACCTTCGTACGTCGTACGATGTACATACGTGACTGTGTGCGATAAGATATATTTATCCTTATTTGTATCTCTTTTTCTCTCACTGCTCTGGGCATTATTGGTGAGTGCGGGTACTTTAAAAGTTTACAGTATTTTAAAGCAAAAATGTATTTACTTAAATATATTTATTAAGTTCTTAGCGTTAAAAAAGTTACTTGCGTGAAAAATAACATCAGGAATGTTAACGTTAAATTGCTTATTTGCTTGAGTTCTCAGCAAGTCCGTCCTTTAAAATACGAATCAACGCATCTTGTTGGTAAGTATAATGTATTGTGCGTTTCAATTTCAATTTTCGAAGACTCAACACGTGTAATATATTATCGCTGACATTATGAATTAAACAAAATGCAGATTTCAAGCAAAGGTGTTCAAAAGACACCTCACTAGTTTCGTTAATATAGAAAAACTGTGTTCACGTTTTCATGCTTTACAGAGATTCTCACTTTCTATAGTTTAATGTCGTTATAAATAATTTTTCACTTTTCCACTACTGAATTTTAGAATCAACAAAATTATTCTTATACGTAAAAATTGATCTGATAAAAAATTGTTTTGTAAAAAAATTACCTATCTAAAATAGATTTTTTTTTTTTAATCGACGTTTTTAATCAGCCTTACGCGCTCTGCGCTTGCGAACATTAGGGCTACTAGTTTCTTTATCAGTCTTGTCGCTTTCTGATTTTTCTTCAGAATCTTCACCATCGTTCTCGTCAACAAGATCATCTTTCACATTGTCTACCAAGTCTTCATCGCTTTTTTCCGCATTTAATAAGGCATCTTCGTCGCTTTTTTCCTTCTTCTTGGTTTTGTAAATATTCTTTGGTGGGTAAATGAAGTCAATGATACAAACAATCAACTGCAAAAAAAAAAGTTCGATTATTATTTAGCATTTGACTATACACAAATTCAATGATGGAAAAAATCGTTTAATACTTACCAAACCCAAGAACGCTCCTATAAAGATGGTAGCAACAGCAAAAATTAAGTAGCTACCCCAAGACGGCAGTCCCAAATCTTCCATCAACTTGTTGTGCACAGCCTGTAATGAATATTAAAGATTCAAATATGCACATAATTATTGCGACCTTCAATAATACCAAGTCAACACACCCTCAATAATTGAGACATTTTGAAAAATTGACTTATAATTGACATTTGTATTGACGTTGGACTTTTCCACGATGAAACAGGGTCCACGTTTTTCCAAATTTTTTGGCGAACAAAATCAATTAAAGAATCTTTGTCTCTCGGGCTCTTATACTGACGGAATATTCCATCTTTTACGCTAAAAACAATTAAGTTATTGTTTATGCCTTGCATAGTAGTAATACATTACAAAATTGAATACTCACTGGTATATCGTGGGCAATGCTGTGACCATAAAACGACCACTAAGTCCTGGTGCATCTGTCACATCTATTTTGCCAACTTCAATTTTAAGCTCTTTCTTTGAAAAGGCAAGACTATCCCAGATTGGTTCAAGAGCCTTGCATGCTGGGCACCACGGTGCATAACTGTGTACGAAAATCAACAGATTGAGAAACCATGGGTCAGTAACGATTGATACACAATGTTTTTTTTTTTTTTTTTTTTTTTTAGGCCATTAGATATTGAAACAAACGAGGTTACATGTATATTTATTATATTGGATTTTAAATAAGACATTTTAAGACTTGAAGTTCAGTAAAACCTAGTTTGAAATGATTCATCTGAAAGAAATATCATAACAATTAAAATTTTTTACTCGTTAATTAGTCAGCTGTTCTCTCTATCGCCACACACAAAATGCCGCTCTAAAAATATAACAAGACTTCAAAACATGTAAACAATCTCGTCTCTAACCTACAACCTCTTTCGCCCCCAGCGACCGCCTTTGTCTTAAAAATATAAATGACTAACGGCTTTCCAGTAAATAAACTAAAGATAAAATACAAAGAAAAAAGGAAGTAGCTCGAATCTTTGCAAGGAGAGGTAAAAAATAAAATAAACACTTGAGCAAGAACTTACAATTCGACCATCCATTCGCCCTCGAGCATACGATCCCAATTACTCTCGTTAAGCTTGACAACCCATTTACTTGGTTTTTGCACAGCTGCTTTCGAGAAATTAAGGCACGCCAGGCCGGCGACGACGAGGACGAGCAGGAAACGCGACATGATCTTCGTAATATGTTATACCTTTCTTTCTTTGTACAGTTTTTTCCTGGAGAACGCGGAGGCTGGCGGAGGCCCTTTGTGTGCCGCCTCTCTGCGTCTTATATTTGCACTTGTAGGGTAAGTGCAGTTCTGCAATGTATATACTAAAATAATGTTGCTCCGCACTCTCCAAAGGTGTGATGTGCTGGCAATACAATTGGTGGCAAATTATTGCCACGGTTCACGAATTACCCCCAACTCCCGACCTGACCAATATACCTACTTATCAAGCCCTAATCCAGTAATCCCGTATTCCTGTTTTGTTTAATTAAGTAAGTATATTGGTACGCTCACTACTGAAGTACTGAACACTGAACCTCAGATCAGAGTCATCAGAGGAGCCATCAGGATCCTCGAGAGAGTAGTGTCAGCACTGTCAGGTCAAGCGTTTGTGTAATGCGCACAGTTGCCACGTCTCTCGGAATATTTTTTTTCCTCAAAATTCAAAATTCGTTAGCTGCTTTAAATCGAATCAAACTTATTTATTCATTAGTAATTACTGTAAGAGCTTTGTGTCATAAATTATTGTTTACAAATAATGCCTATCAGAATATAAATCGATCAGAATCTCAAATTACAATTGAGTTGATAACTTTTCATTTTGAAATATGACGCTTTTTTGGTGTGATACTGCGTGCGCAGTAAATGCTCCGCGCAAGCGCGGTCACGCAGAATATCGGAACGCCGAACGCCACACTTTTGTTAAGGTTAGGTTTTACCGCACCCCCTTGTGTGTGTTATGTTGTCGATTCGACTACACTGCTCCGGATTGCGAATTTCATTTCTCATTTCAAACAATAATTTTTGTGTAATCTTTTTAAATTTGACGTAACTATTAAAGTAAAATTTAAAATGTCTGATGGTAAGTCCGATTTTGTTTTTTTTGAAATGTCGCCGTTTGTTCATATAAAATGTATTGTGTTGCAGAAGAAGTCATTCGTAGGAGATTGTTGATTGATGGGGATGGTATCGGAGACGACCGTAGACTTTACATTATTTTGAAGTCTTTTATGAAATGGGTAAATAATCCGGAAGTTGACCATGTCCTGCATGAAAGGATGCTTTCTCAATTAGCACAGTGTGAGTTTGCACAGAGAAAATCTAGACTAGTCTCTTGCATGAGTCAAGAAGAACAAAAAAATTATGAAAATTTATCAAAGGAAATTGATCTTGAAATCGAAGAAGCCAAGGTAAACATTGAAAAAACCAAGGCTGAGCTTCAAGAAGCCAAGCAAGTTAGGAAAAACAGGATCGAGTACGATGTGTTGGCCAAAGTTATTAATGTTCAGCCAGATAGGAGAGAAACTAATGTCAAACTTGCAACACTTCAAAAAGAGCTGGGAAGCTTGAAAGTAAGTGTCTTTATGTACCTAGTAAATTGCTGTCAATTTTTGTAAAAATATAAATTAACTGTGTATTTATTTTAAAAGGAAAAATTACACCACTTGGAACAAAAACTTGAAATGAGAAGAAAACAGTTTCATGTTCTCATATCTTCGATACATTCTTTGCAGGGTATGCTGGATGAATCTGACGAGGAAATAATGGATGTCAGCTTAGAAGATGTAAATATGTCTCCTAAAGTAGCGGCTTAAACTAAACGTAATTTTGTATTCAATAAGATTCCTACGATTTTTATATAGTTTAAATTAAATATATTTATAATTAAAGTTAAAAGAGCTTTTTTTTATTGTTTGTGTCACCTTCCCAATTTTAATTTTATTTTTGTAGTTTTTGGAACATGCCTAACAGTGAGTGACAGTCTAGTCGAACGCTGTAACACTTTTGCTTCTTCATAAGTGCGTGAACACATGTTTATATTTTTTATTTCATTTCTTGATATCACATCAGTGGTTCTTTCATCAATAGCATGTAAATAATTATGATACAAATCTTCTTGAAGAATCAACAAACTTCTAGGTTCCAGCAATAAACTGAACTCACGTTTTGGAGTTATCTAAAAAAAATACATATGTATAATTGCTAGCTGTTAAATTACACTTTAAACAAAAACTTTTATTATCTCACATTATTTTCAGTTTCGTGCCTTTTGTAAAATTCTAACAGTGTATGTGATCCACAACTGATTGTTGTAACAATTGGATGAAAAAGTGGACCATCTGTATGTGCCTGTCAATCATTATTTTATTTAAAAAAAGGGTCCCACTTTTTTGAAAAACTTAATTTAAACTTACCATAATGCCTTGACCAGACAAATATTCATTGATCAAGACGTGATTTGGCCTCTTATCTTTTTCAAACACATCCAACGAGGCTATTTTGTCAATTTGACTATTAAGCCACTAAAAAGTAATATTCATGGAATTCAATTGGAGGCTTCAATGAAACTACATTTAAACATGGTTGTACCTTAGGAACATCTTCAGCAATCATGCCTTTCTCATGAGGGATTCCACCCCAGTTTTGTAGCCTACGTTTGCTTAACTGTGTCCATTTCGGCAGCGGTGCACTGTTGACTTTTTTAATTATATCCTGTTCTTCTTCTTCAGTTATAAAATCCGGAATGTAATTGACCAAACGTGGTACCTATTACATTGATAATGGTTTTTAAATAACCATATTACCATTTTACCAAGAGCAATTAATACCTCTTTGACTACACTTGTACTTAATAAGCTTGTCAAGTCCTTCTCATCCATTTTCATTTTTTACATGACATTTTTCGCAAGCTTTTACACAAGATTTGTTCGAAAGCGAAAAAAAGTTGGGCAAACGCGGACAGCAGCGGGTGATACGTAAACAAAGAAGGTACAATAACGTATACATTTGTATACATGATATATATGTATATATACACATTTTTTTAAGGGAAGATTAGTATAAAGAGTAGGGGCTTCCCTGCAACCACCTGACTGCGAATAAATTTTGTAACCGAAAACCGGACTTGTACCCTATCAGTTCCCGCTGCTCTGCAGAGAGTCTGCAGCGCTGCTTGGTGAAGTTGGTGTGAATTTTTCCTCGAATTTTCTAAGTACGTGAGGCGCTTGAGTTACGAAATTTGATACATTTCTTAATAAATAAAATAAATAAATAATTACCTCGTACTGTCAAATCATTCAAATAATTTTAGCGTCATATATATCTTTGATGTTTAATACTTACAACAAATAATTGTACACAATGGTGTAGGTATAAAAATGTTATAAGATTTTAAAGTTATTCACTTATATTGTATTATCGTAATTCATACATCATCTTGCGATTTCTCTTTGTACAATATTGTACACCCCCCTCCTCCTCTGCCTCCCATCTCTTTATATATATATATGTGTGTGTGTGCATGTGTATGTGCATGTATATAATATGTGGGCGACGGGCGACGGACGACGGGAGTACGGGACGACTCGCGAGAGTCGCGAGACGCCGTTTCGCGCGTGGGGGTAAAAAAGGCATCCTTAAATTGCCAGTCGTTGCTGATTCGTTTCTGCTTTCACGACACGACAACGTTCCTTCTTGCGCATAGTTTTGACGCTCTGAGGAATTTCCTCTCGCGCCTCGCGCCACACCTGGTACTTTTACTCTGGTATGTGTATGTAGATACTTTGGTACTTATACTTGAGTAACTTGAGCTTACAGAAGTATCCACATATTAAATATATTGCAGGTGTACATGTTGATCCTAGTGGAGTTTGGTTTGCAAGTTTGCATTTGCAGTCAGACTGCATTGCATTAAGTAGGTATAGTATATAAAATCGTCAGAAGAGTAAGTGTGTATAGTGAATAAACATGTGTGCATTGTAAGCGCGTAACTATATGGATGGACGGACGACGGACTACATAATATATGGAGACATTAGAGCCAAGGATTAGGTGTAATAAAAGTAAAAATCAGAACAAGATGTGGCATTTCGTGTACCATACCTGTTTACAACTCCCGTGAGTGAAGTGATGTGTTTTTTAATATTCTCTCGTTTGCTGTGCTGCTGGCTGCTCAATTGCTCATGTACTCATGTTCACGCGTATACCTATATTGTGGACACACATACCAATCCATCTGTATAAATGTAGGTGAATGGAATGGATGCTGCATGCTGCTGTCTGTGTCTGCTGCAGCAATACACCTACCTATTTATATTATCTGTTATCTCTGCGACGTGCGTAAGTATGTATAAAGTACGTATATATGTACAGCATTGTATGCCTATATACAGTATTGTCAAAGCTATGAGTAAGAAGAAGTGAGAGGCGAGAGGAAAGTCGGAGTCGGAGAAGGAGAACTCTGAGAGCCAAACCTGTCAAGACTCGTCTCCTCCTCGAGAAAGATTGCTCTCCTACTTATATATCCGCAGCATGCATGCATCAGCACCCTTTCTACTTTTATTGTTGGCTGTGCGAGATCTGGTGAGCAAACGAATTTCCAGGACGACCAAACTATCGATGGGCCTCGTAAGTAAAACATTTTCTTGTATACCCTCACAGAACCCTCACAAAATCAGCAAGTTTTTGCTTCCTTCCTTACGAGTCACACGTGAGCTGCGTGTGCTTTCTCTTAAAAATATATACGTACCCTTATGTTACATTATTATGTATCATCTTCAAACACGTTCTACCTAGATTATTTTTGTACCATACTTATTCGTAGGAAAACAGGAAACCCTCGCTGAGCATGCCGGAGATTTAATACCCTCCGCGATCTTTGGGCTTAAAATTCAGCTTTTTTAGGTCTTGTTTAAGTACCGTAAGTATAGGAACCATTTGATTGTGGAGTTACAGATTTTTTTTGGAGCACACGTTGGCAAAACAATGCACTCATCTGTCTTGCTCGTGGGTGTGCGCGTGGGATGGTAGACGATTGCGTTACTACGTTGATTCTCATCCTCTGTGAGGCTCATCGAAGGCTGAATGGGAGTCAGGAATGTGCAGCGTTTGTTCACCCAAACTTGGCTTTGTTGCTATATGGCAGCACTGCCTTTGCAATAATTTTCCCATGAAATATACCTACCTCCTTGAATACTTTTTATTTTTTATCTTTTTTTTTTTTTTTTTTTTTTCCAACTTTTTGATATTGTGAATGGTGGATCTCTCGTGAATCCAAAGTGAAAAGTGTCAACCTTTACAGTGACCTATAATGTGCGAAATTGGCTGCAGAACGTTAAACAACGCTTGAGTTTATAATAAGAGTTATTGCTAGAAAATGTGGAATTTGCGCACTTTTTTATTTTTGTTTTTATCAGTATTTTATGAACAATTCATTCTCGACGTGTATGAAATTTGTTTACCCAGAAAAAATTTTTTTACCATTCAATGCATAGATGTATTTAACTTGTTATCATAAAGAATGTTATCAAATATAAACAAAATGTGTTTCTCAAGCAAAAAGATATTTTAGGCTTGTGTGATTATTCTTCAATAATGATAGTATGAATGAATGAATGTAATTCACACATTATGATGAACGATACATGGCTTATTGCTTGCAACATAATCTTTTAGTTATGCTAAACTGGAGAATCAAAACTTTTGCTACCTCCTACTTAATATTATATTGTTCGGTGCTTGAAATCTGCTTTTCTATTTTTGTTTTTGTTTTCTGCATAGAATTTTTCAAAAATTTCTTATTAAAATGTACGTGATTGACGATAAAAAAAATTTTTTTTTTTTCCCGAAGTTGAAGTTGAAATTGGTTCAACCAATTGAATATATTGACAAGTTTTTTAAATAAAAATCCAAATCTCAAAATTTTGATTATGTAATAAATAACTTAATTGGATTTTGACCAGATGTTTGTTATCTTAATGACTACCCTTCATGAAATTTTAATCGATAAAGCATTTTAAAAACGGTATTGTATCTCATACAATGTTGGAATAAAAATTCTAATTGTAAAAAAAAAAAATATATTTTCATTTAAGAAACGCGAAAAAAAATTTCTGACTTTCAAAAAATCGAGGCTTTGAAAGCTTTTAGACAAATCTCTGTTAAAAAGATGAAACTTATATCAAAACAGGTCAATAGGATTGCAAATAATTTAAAGATAAAATCCAAAAATAACATCATAATGTACTCAATGTATAAAAATTTAATTAATGAGGAATTGTCAATTTTCTTCTGTTGCAGATAACAACGTCATTAAATAAATAAAAAGCAGTAAAATCTTGTTAGCAGTGTCTACTTGAGTCTCAAAAATCTTCATACAGTCATCATGTTGAAACGAAAATACCTGCAATCCTAATAAATAAAAAAATTGATTTTTCAAGATAAAAAATGCCTCACCATTCAGTCAATAATGGGACAGCACTTTGCTAGTCTCAGAGAATTTTTCAGAATGGATAGTGACAAGAAACCTTTGGAAGGATATCCCAAGGCGATCCGGTGTGTGTCTCTTGATATGCTGGATCAAAATGAATCAATTAACCTAGCAAATCAAGAAAGTAATGGAAATATACCAGTTATCAACTCTAATGTGATTCAAAACAGACCCAAGTCTGAGGACGGTTTAGATAACGAGCAATTGAATTTGGATGTGGACAATCACAATTCCAGATTCGAATCATTGTACAGTCAACCAGTGGACGGTCAGGAGTCAAAGCAATACTTTAATAACGGGAATTTCATCGCTGTTGAACAGGATCAGACATTTAGACAGCAAGAGGCCTGTTGCAGTAATTCTGGTGGTAGTAATACAAGCAGCAGCTCCGAAGACAGCCCTGTGAATCCGGTTTTAAGGAGATCATCAAAAACATTATCGTTTGGACGGCGGAAAAGTAAATACCATTATCACTATTTATGAAACTAAAGCTCGACCACTTATAACAATAAATTTTTAATGACTTATTTAGCAAAGTCACATTCAAAGGACCAAAATCCGGTATGCAATCACATACTGTCTTCGAAAAAGAAGCGTAACAACTGGGTACTCAAGTTCAATTGCGCAAAGAGCAAAGGCTCGAAAAACACGGACATTCCAGGCCAGGCCAACAGTAGCTCAGAGTGCATTTGCACGGGGTACAGAAGGACCGAGGAACACCCAATGGGTGCTGGCATTGTCTTTAATAGCAGGTCTGCCCCACAGAGTCCAGTACTTGGACCACTGCCGCCTAGTCCTGTTATCGATCTCTCGCTCTTCAACCCGGAAGAATTTCCCATGGAGGTAACTTTAAATTGCATGATTTTTTTTTTCACGCTTCATCATGATAATTTAGCAAGAGTGACTTGAACGATTTTTCAACATCTCATCTCATTCGAACGGAAGACGCGTATATGTCGACAATGCATCTTTGTGTCATTTAAGAGCTCATGACGTCACTCTTACGCGTTCATTTCGCTCATATACGATAAATGAGTCACTGTAGGGAATCGTATTAAAGAAAACAGCTTGCGTTTGAAGCTTCAAAGCCTCGGTGGATGACGATCGCATGAAAATATTGTTGTTATCCTAACATGAATTTATTCTTCATTAAAAATGCGTCTTTCATCTCTTGGCCAGGATTGCGACGTACGAGCTCGAATACAAAGAGCCCGAGAGATGGAGGAAGGCGTGGAGCCACCCCCAGGCTACCGGCCGAACTGCACCGCTGGCGCTCTGCAAGTGCACCCGAGTGGCATCACGGTCGACAGCCTGGCAGCCCTGTTCCAGGCAAACGCCGGTATTCAAGCGGCCGCCCTTACTGCTCTGTCGCAAATAGACTCAACGCTCGTCTCGAGTATCGAGAGGCCCATCCACACTCAGGTCGACTACGTGCACTGCCTCGTGCCAGACCTCAACTCTATAACGGCGTGCTCCTTCTACTGGGGCAAGATGGATCGATACGAAGCCGAGCGCTTGCTGGATGGCAAGCAGGAGGGCACCTTCCTGCTGCGTGACTCAGCGCAGGAGGAATTCCTCTTCTCGGTTAGTTTTCGCAAGTACGGGCGATCGCTTCACGCGCGGATCGAGCAGTGGAATCACAAGTTCAGTTTTGACTCCCACGATCCGGGAGTTTACGCCTCTGAAACGGTAGGAAACTAACTCTATAACTGTGCCACAAGTGTCTATATAAAAATACGTAAATTTGCTCAAGGAAACTAACGTGGTATTTTTTATTGTTTTCAAAGGTATGCGGACTGATCGAGCACTACAAGGATCCGTCGTGCTGCATGTTCTTTGAGCCGATGCTAACGATCCCATTGCACCGAAACTTTGCCTTCCCCCTGCAGCACCTATGTAGAGCGGTCATCACCACGCGCACAACCTACGACGGTATTAACAAACTCCAACTACCAAAGACCCTCAAAACTTATCTCAAAGAATACCATTACAAGCAACGCGTGAGGATCAGGCGGCTGGATACGGAGAGTGATTTGCAGTCTGACAGTAAATCGATATCATACTTGCCCCTCATGTGAAAATCGTTTTGATTGCACGCTCGTTGATCTTGAGAGAAGCTGTAGTTAGGAGCTTCTCATATTTTTTACTTTTTAAATTTCTACCCTCGTAGATATGTATATATATACCTTTGAACTAATTTTTCCTCAAGATCGGTATTTTCGGTTCGTTATCGAATTTTAACACAAATTTTGAGTAGCTTCAATTACACGCTGTTCGGAATCATCTTTGATACGTTATTACATGTAAAAACTGATAATCAGTTCTAAAATTGTTGAAAAAGTTTTATTTCTCTCGTTTAACGTCAACTAACAATTAAACATTTTTCTTTGATTTTACATCAACCAAATAATATTTTAAATGGGATTGTAATTTGAATACCTCCGTTACAATTTTTACAATTTATAAGCTTCCTTTAACATTTTATCTCTATGCAAAATAATGCGTCCTTTTAATAAATTCGGAAGTATAAGTACGAATATTTAATCATGCAATATAAAGATTTAATTAAATCAATATTCATATTTTACATGCGCAATATTAATGGTTCATTAATTTATTTATTTATTATGAGAAAACTTGAAATTACTTAAGAAAGTGCGAGTTTTTTCTAAATATTATTAGGGCTGAATGCACAAACTGGTATCCAACAACTTTTACAAAAATATTTACTTTTGATGCCACAGTTATATTAAATATTTCATTTTTTTATTTTGCCAGTGGGTGCAAATTATCATGTAGAAGCATAAGATAGCATTAATGAAAAGCTAATATTTTATCTCATGAGTAGTAGGGTTATTTTTTTAACAAAAAAAGAAAAATTTAACAGTAAGTTGTAGGTCTCATATTCTTTCTTTCCTAGCTGCCGTTAATGTCAATATTTATATGATTTAGATACATATTTGCATTCCGTATGTTTGGTTTAAAAAGCTGTTCAGAGTTGCTCTGAACACTTCTCCAAAGCTATGAAAATATGTATCTATATTTGTAGTTAGGCAGCATTTTTATCAGTTTCAAAAAAATTTTTTGAAGTTTTTTATATTTTACATTAATTTTTTGTCCTTATTGGCAATGATAAAAAATTGCGTATTTTATGAACGCTTATTGCAAACCAAGAACTGATATACGATATAAATTTCTTGAAATCTGAAGGAGTTAAAATTGTTATTGCGGTTGTCAGTGTTTCTCGTAAAAACGTTATTTCGGAATGTGATAGTCTTTAGCTTTGAAAATTTATGTATTATAGTTAAAAAAAGGTGTTGTTGTTTTCAAAGTATTTGTAAATATAGTTATAAAATCTATCACGTATAAAAACTGCTTAAAAGGAAAAAAAATTGTTGAAAGAATAATTAAGACTGTAAATTTTTCTCAATTGTGTAGTAAATATCACAAGTTGGTTGTTGAGGAAAATAATAGCGATCATATCATATGTCATTTTTTTCATATGTTACAAAAAAAAGTTTTTTTGAATAAAAAAAAAAAAAACAGACATTGCCAACAAGGTAAAAAAGACGAGCCTATGTTTAGGTACGAGCTAAGTATTATTACCTCTATTTGTATGATTTTACAACAATAAGGAATTTTTCAGGATAAAATAATTGCATTAGTTATCTGTATCAAGTGTCCCACTGCGCTAGTCACGTGACAATTATTCGATGTGGGTGGCTTTTTATCAATAAAGAATGTGAGGCTACCGATCATGTATTTATTTCACTCGCTCAATCATCAAGTGAAAATAGCAATATTTAGGGGATAGATGAGATGAAAATAGAGGCAGTTTTTTTTAACACACATCGAGGAGAGTGAGAGTGACACCCAATTCTTCCAAAATAATTCATGATTACGCAATTCCTATCGTGCCTACTTTTATTATGGATGATCATGATACACCACACAAATGATTTATGGCCCATCAAGCTCATGATGCCAATGACGTTCAAGTATTGGGCTGTTTTGAAACTTTTGTTGTTTTTAATAAATATTTATAAATGTTTTACACAATTTCCATTCAAATTTGTAAGATTGATAGTTATATATTTTAAATTAAANATTATTTCAATTGTAAAAATCAGATCCACGTATAAGATATGTATATTTTCATGATTATGAGGATCAATATTTTTTATACAGCAATAAAAATAAAACGATTTACAATTTACACTTTTTTAACTGAATAAAATCCAGCCATTAGAGAAAAATAAAATTGTGTGTTGGGAAAAATTATCCACATTAATTTGTTAGAAAAAAATCAACTGTCATACATTACTGCTATAAATAAATATAGTCAACTATGAATAAGCACTTGTTAGATTGCAAAATAAATAACTGCAAAAAAATTAAACAATGTTTTGTTAATTTAGTACCCCTACATGCAAAAATTATTTGGTTTGTTGTTTTATTAGACTAAAAACCTTTCTGGATATTTTTAGGTTAGTATGTTGAACTTATATTACAATTATTTGTTTATTTATTTATGTGCCTTTTATATGCCTTAGTTATAGTTATTAAAATTGAAATTGTCTGCTTTTCCACTACAATTCGTGATCTAATTAATCTAAAAAAAAAATTATTTTACAGGTTCCAAAAATCTGTTGGGTGTGTATACCCCGAAAATTCAAAGACTTAGACTTTTGGGGTCAAAACGAAGCTGTAAATCTTTAAAAAATACGTTTTTAAATATTTTTATTTATTTTTTCAGAATTATCATTATACTTGTAATCTTTTTTGATGTATTCATCAGTTTTTTGAAAGGTTTGTGTACAGTCAAAAAAATGTAGATCTCATTGAAATACAACTTTTTTACATTGTTTGCTTTTATTTGAATTCCAATGTAGTTACACGATTCAGAATACATAGTTCTATCTAAAATGTAATTTTATTTTATATGTAATTATCATGGTCTTATGTGATTATCAAGTACGAAATGTGGGAGTTGTGCGCTGGACGCCAAAATTTATTTTTATGCATACATTTAGATTTTGATTTGAGCTTATAAGTAGCTCACATTCTGGATGAAATTTTAGGTACTTTGTATTGTCTAAAGTCTACATGGTACGTATTGTTTTATTTGTCTTTACGCGATTATGATAAATATGTGCCTTTTGTATAAGAAATAATATTTTTTTAAAGTAAGAATGATTTTGTTATAAATATCTTAATTAACCATTTCCTAAAAGGATACTGATGAAATGTTTCTCCCAGTTTTCGACCATGTACAGCTCGGTGACTAATGTGTACCTGAAGTACCAATATTTTAAAAAAGTTGTGATTTTTTCCATTATGTTCACCATAGTTGTACCTACAATATCTGAGTAAAAGTAGTTAAGTCACTTCAGTTAACACAATACATGGTAAGCACACAGAATGACCAGTAAAAAATTACCATAAATTATTAGAAGTACAGTAACCTCAAACCTTACAAGTTAACGCAATGCAATGAATGTCCATTAACTTGCTTTGAATTCTTATAGGTGCAATTCTGCACAAAATAAACTGTATTTACGATAAGTAAATGTTTATATGGATAATCAGTGTACACTATACTATTACAGGCTACTACTTGTATGCTATTAAGTGTCAAATTTGTTCTGCAGTTTTTCTAAAGGCGAATTTTAAATGCATCTGATTCAGTTTTGTGTTCTGCGCATCGTTGTGCGCCTGATAAAATTATTGTAAACGCAGTCGAATTGTGGGATGGCTGACGGCACCACCACAGTGAGTCATATTTTTTGAAGCTATACTCTATACCTAGTTATTTTACAATAAAAAAATACAAAATTATCGTATTCATTATAAATAGTTCATATACAATTCCGCATAGCTTTTCTACATCCTCGATATGGTGCCTCGGTCAATGCTCATTGTTCTCCGTGATTTATATTTATTATGTGTTTCGATCTTAACAGGCTTTTACTTTCAACATGTCAGTGCCANGCCTGATAAAATTATTGTAAACGCAGTCGAATTGTGGGATGGCTGACGGCACCACCACAGTGAGTCATATTTTTTGAAGCTATACTCTATACCTAGTTATTTTACAATAAAAAAATACATTCAGATAATTTATTATGAAATTTGCCATTCAAATATAAGTATATTTTACTGACAACTGTTAAATAAGTTCATGGGTGTAAAAGTTATCTTAACTTTAAGTAGGTACTTCTTTTATCTTGCGAAATCGGCTAAAAGCGGCGTGAACAGGGTTTTTGAAAATTAAGGTACCAATGCTTGGCCACAATAAAATTACATCAGATATTTTTAATAAGTACAATAAAATTAACAAAAAATTTAATCGAAAGATGATTTTAATTTTTATTTATTTTATAACTGGGAAACAGGTGACGTTGATAGAGACATTATTACATTGTTGCAGTAATCCTAAAAAAAATTAACTTTGTTGTGATTGACAGACTGAATCCGATTCGATCGACCGATTGATACCGTATACCATTATTATTATTATTATTATTTTTTTTTTTATTATTATTATTACAAAGGAGAAAAAGAGTGCGCCCGACATACTTTCTAAGTGACTAAGTGTATTTTTTTTTTTAGTACCATAGTTAAACCTTAAGGTGAGAGTATGAATGATACGTATAACGTGTACTGTGCAGAAATTTGACTCCTTAAAGATCCCACACCAGTTTTTCTTAGAAAGCTGATATCCGTTTAAAAACACATGGATGATATCTTTTACACTACCACCTTGTAGATACCTACTGAAGCATCGAGTGAAACTTTTATTTCGTGTCCTTTGAATACTTATGTGTATGTATATGTACCCATATAACTTTTCATTCCAAGAAAAAGAAACAAAAGCTACATCTATAGGCTGTGTTCGCATAAGGCTCCGTTTATCCGTTAGTCAAGCAGTTAAGGTTACGAGATCATTTATCATAAGTGCGAGTGAGACGCATAATCACGTGACTTAACTAAACGGAGCCTTATGCGAACACAGCCTGTAGATGTAGCTTTTGTTTTTGCTATGAAAATGTAATATACATACACACACACATAATTATACTCTGGGCAAAATCACCCGTTCTATTTCGAAACGAAAAACAATCGCGCACCCTACTCCAGATATGAGTAGATCTCTGACTACTCTCGGCGGTGTAGCTGCGATAACGGAAACAGCGGTTGGCGGTACGGTCTGGTATATTTCGCAGAATCGCAAAATTTGCAACGACAGTTCAGTCGCTGGCGAACCGCTAAAGCGAGCTTGCAGTGCCGATCAGTTTAGTTTTTGCGGGTGTGTCTCTTTTATGGCTGAGGTCTCTCGCGTCTCGGGCAAAACATCAAGTAAAAGATCAACGAGAACAAAGACTGGTGTTATAGATCCATAAGTAAACGATATGGAGGGCAGAAATTCGAATAACCGATACAAGAACAAAGCCAAACCCAAACCTTATTGCAACAACAACAATCCACAAGGTCGACATGCAAAATCCACGGGCAATGAACGTGGACATCAAAGTAGGACGCTTGATCCCAGAAGAGCACCGAACCCTGGATTCAAGTAAGCATAATATTGTTTTTTTTTTTCTCCCTTATACCCTATTTTGATTGACAAAATGTTGATTTGTAACATTCTTGGGTATACGCGCGCAGTTGCGTCAGAAAGTACTGTACTTAATCAAGTTTCACAGTAAAATGCCGGTTGCTTTTTTTTTCTTCTTTTCTTCAAGCAATTTTTTGAGAACGTACAAAAATAATTTAGTGTAAGTGCTTTTAGCTTTTTGTTTTTACAATGTTATACATATGGCTGAGCGAACACGCATTTATATATATGCCTACAACCTTGCGCTTCACTTTGCGTTTGGGCATTTTATAATTTTGCTACCTCGAATGTCACGGACTATTTCGCATAATCTTCATCCAATTGTTATTTTCCGACAGTAAACCGATAGCGCAAAACCGCTGGAACAAACGTGACAATGACCGTTGCGCCGAGAGGATGACTTTTAACTTTAAATCCTTGAAAGAATTGAGTTTAATGAACAGTGAGGACGCAATGGTGAAAGTTACGAAAAACCAGGAAGAATTCGCGAATTTCTTGAACAAAAAAATGAGGCCGGATTTTTTAGTGGTGACGTTGAAAGTTTTCAAAAACATTTGTCGGGCTAACTTCACGGAGACCCTCACGAAGCTCATCAACCAAGCCTGCTCCTCAAACTTTTTGCACAACTTGGAAAATTATCTGACAAAATTACCGTTTGAAAGTACCGAGGAAAAATTGCTCAACAAGTTGTATTACGAAGACGTCAATGGGTTCGTAACGATACTCCGTGTATTATTATTATTATTATCTTGTAATTTTTTCGAGTAATTGTATTCGTTATATTTTACGTTTGCTAGGTTTTGGCGCGATCTTGTCGAGTTTTTTCAAAAAATCATCGAACTCATGTTTCGCACGGCGTGCAACAAGTTGACAACAGTATTAAAAAAAATGGAAGGAATCATACAGAGCATTGAATTGACCCAAAAGTATGGACTGGACGATGGGATAAAAAAAGACGTATCGAGTATGATAAAGGATTTGGAGGGGGAAATAAAAAAAATCGAAAAGAGAGACGTGGTTGGAGCAGATTCCGACGAAAACAGCAAAGAGCTCGCTCCACCAGACAATTTCCGGGAGATCAACGTGTTCCCGACGACCGAAGATCTGCTCGACGACAAAGTATTTTTGAGGTCGTGCAAAATAAAAGACCCTTATGATTCCGTTGACCATTACTTGGATGTACAATTTAGGCTGCTGAGGGAAGATTTCGTGAGGCCCTTGCGCAACGGAATCAAAGAGCTGGATGGTACCCAAAATTACCGAAACAATGACTTTCGCATTTACAGGAATGTTAGGCTGATGACCTCCAATGTTAAAGAATTCAGCGCTGGCATTCAACTCAACTTTGGAAAATTGAATTTCGTCGACTGGCGCATCTCCAAGCGCCTCATGTACGGAGCGCTTCTACTCTTGAGCAACGACAACTTCAAAAACGTGGTATTTGCAACCGTGTCCAACAGAGACATAGAGGACCTCATGAATGGATTTGTGTCCATAGAGCCGTGCGTGGAAACGGTCATCAACCCCACGATGTACAATTGCAATTTGGTCTTGTTGGAATCGAAAATTTTCTTTGAACCGTACTTCGTTGTACTGTCTGCTATGCAAAAGATTAATGAAACGAACTTTCCCATGGAAAGGTATTTAATCCAAGCTAAGACTTCAGTGAAGCTACCGCGGTATCTAGAGGACGTAAATTACTTGACGTTTGAGGACAAATTCATGTTGCCATTACACGGTGGCGGCGATTGGCCACCCGCTGCAGAATTAACATTGGACGAATCGCAGTACGGTGCATTTAAAAGCGCGTTGACTCAGGAGTTCGCTGTGATTCAAGGTCCCCCGGGTACTGGGAAAACCTTCATAGCGTTGAAAATTGTTCGGGCTCTGCTGGAGAACAGCACAAAGTGGAAAAAACACGGCCCCATCGTCGTCGTGTGCCTGACGAATCACGCCCTGGATCAGTTTCTGGAGGGCATTTTGCGCTACACAAAATCGATAGTACGTGTGGGGAGTCGGTCGAAGAGCCAAAAGTTGAAGCCTTACGCCCTCGGGGAGATCAGGAAGAGCTTCAATCACAGAAACAGCGCGGGTTACTTGGTGCACGACATGAAACGCCAGATTGAAGAAGTTTTCAGGGCCGTCGACAAATTGAGACTGTTCATCAAGTATTTGACCACACCGAACATCATCGTGCCTCTGCAGGCTTTTCAGAATTGCCGAGATGAAACGCCTCTGAAGGAGTTCAAAACGAGCGAAGAGCTGATGTTCTGGCTTGTCGGGATGGAAGTGACTCCGTTAATCGGACTCGAGACTCCCAGCGATGCACCCAACAATGTGTCCGAAGAGGCAAAAAAAGAGGAGACGGCAGAAACGGAAACGGCTAAGTACATTTTCGAAGAATTGGACAACTTACGCACAGACGTTGACATAACGTTCGAGTATGAAAAATTGAAAGTCGTCGATTCTTGGGGTCAAATTTATCCGTTGGATATGTTTGATAGACGAATAAAGGAAACGCAGTGCCAGATTAGTCAGTTGAAAAACAATCCTGCGTCGTTGCATTTGCCATTTAGTCCGATCAATGCTTGGACGGATCATTTGGAGGACACTTGTCAGCAGCGTGAAAATATACGAGTAAGAAATACTTTTACGACAAAATTACACATTAACATAATATATAGTCTTGGATTTTTAATAAGTAATTTTTGAATTTTCAGCTTGAGTTAAGCAAACACCCGCTAATAAACAAGACCAGCGCGCCTACTGCCAATCCACGCTGGCAAAAATACTGGTCTTGGATAACGACTAGTTACGATTGGGTGTGCAATAAAATCACCCAGTTGGAAGAAAAATATCGATCTTTGAATTCACAACTGAGCGAAATGAGACACATAGCCGATTTGGGAGTGATGAAAGAACGCGAAGTGGTTGGGCTAACAACCACCTGTGCTGCCAAGATTCAGTCTTCGTTACGAGCTCTTAGAGCACCTATAGGTAAAATTACGTGAATAACGTTTATTGTTTTGTGTGATATTTAAGTAAATGTTTTTTTTTTCATCAGTATTGGTTGAAGAGGCAGCCGAAATTCTGGAATCGCACGTTGTTTGCGCAATGACCAAGTCTTGCCAACACGTAATATTGATCGGCGATCACAAACAATTGCGCCCCAAGGCTTCAGTCTACGAACTAGGGACAAAATATAATTTAAACGTGTCGTTATTCGAGCGAATGGTCAACGTGAGAGGAGATTGTATCCAGTTGGCGTACCAGCACCGCATGCGGCCGCAAATTGCCAAATTGGTATCTCCAATTTATGAAATCCTGCACAACGACAAGTCTGTATTTTGCTATCCGAATGTCAAAGGATTGGATAAAAATCTTTTCTTCCTAAATCACACGTCACGCGAGGAAAGCTGTAAAATAGACGAGAGTTACGTGAATAAACACGAGGTCAGATTTTTTGCTGCATTTGCAAGGCATCTGTTGATGCAGGGCTACGGTCCAGATGACATTACCATCCTCTGCACTTATACGGGGCAACTAATCGCTTTCATGAATGTAAGTTATTATGCGCTATAGTGAATCCACACATATGTGTGCAATTGGTGTTTATTGATTTATAATTTATAGGAAGTGCATCGGCACTCTCTCCTTCGACAAGTACGTGTCACAACTGTAGACAATTACCAAGGGGAGGAGAATAAAATTATTCTTCTGTCGCTGGTCCGTAATAATGGCGAATCAAAAGTCGGATTTTTGAAAGAAGAGAACCGAGTGTGCGTCGCTTTGTCGCGCGCTCGGGAGGGCTTGTACATCATGGGCAATATGAGCGATCTCATCAGTAAAAATAACATTTGGCCCAAGGTGCACAAAGTATTGGAAGATGAAAATGCAATTGGCGACTATTTGAAGTTGAGATGTCAAATTCACAAAGATCAATTTTTCGAGGTAATACTTTTAGAGATAAATCTTTGAAAATATAGTAAATTTATGAATATTACTTTGTTTAGGTAAAAAATGAGGATGATTTCAAACAATGTCCCGAAGGGGGGTGTTTGAAAAAGTGCGACCTTTTATTACCCTGTGGGCATTTTTGCCTGAGCGTTTGTCACATTTTGGATCGGGAGCATAAGAATTATCAGTGCAAGCAAAATTGTAACGGAGTCTGTCCAAATAATCACCCTTGCGAATTAAAGTGTTGGCAGGGCTGTAAACCATGTTTGGTTTTCGTAGAATGTACACTAAAGTGCGGACACACCATAAAAATACCATGTTCTTCGGATCCGAATACATTTCCATGTCCAGTTAAGGTATATACAACTTTTAATTGTTGACACTGTACCGTTGTTACAAAAAAAAAAAAAGCTCGAATAATTTTATATCCATAAATTACAAGGGTTTTTTATATCTTTGGTGTTTGAAATAATTACTTTTAGGTGGATGCGACTTTACCGGAATGCAATCATGCGATCACAAAACCTTGTTATCTGTCGATTGAAGAATGTAAGTGTAGTTACAAATGTGAAACTCGTTTGGATTGTGGACATTCGTGTTTAAAATACTGCCATGTGAAGTTCGATCCAGATCATCTGAAGGTATTTTTATTGTTGTAAATATACATATATTTTTATTTTGCAGTACGAAAAGAAAAAGTTGGTCACAATGGTCACGCGTCACGCGTTACAACCCAAAATATTATTAAAACAATAAATGAAAATTTACTCAATCATTAATCAATGATTTTCTCTGTAGTATACGTGTAATAAAAATTGTACAAGAAAAAATGTTAACTGTACTGGAAATCATATTTGTAAAAAAAGATGTTACGAGGAATGCGAGCCTTGCTCTCTACCTGTTGACAAAAAACGTTCATGCAGACATTACTATAAAAACGTTGCTTGTTCTTTGAACATAGAAGACGCTTACTGTGAACGACGTTGTGACAAAATAATGATTTGTGGTCATAAATGTAAATTGAAGTGCTCAGATGAATGTAATAATTGTCAACAAATGGTAAGGGTGATATAAAAAAACATTGCCAAAGTAAAAAATGAGAATTGAACTGCGCTGATTTTAACGTTAAAAATTAATAGGTGACAAAGAAAAGTCCATGTGGTCACAACATATGTGTTAAGTGTTGCGAAGAAGCTACACCTTCCAAATGCAACTTTGATTGTTTAAAAACGTTACCGTGCGGCCATCCATGCACTAAAAAGTGTAGAGAGTCCTGTACAATGGACTGCAAGGAAATGGTGAAACTGAACAAGCCAGGACTTTGTGGCCATATTTTTTCAGTACCTTGCTATTTAAAAAATTCCGGTAATACCCAGCAGAGCCATTAATTTTCAACCAACATACTAAATTTTTTGCTTGTTTGATTCAACAATAATTTAATTTTCTTCAGATCCAAAATCTCATGGATTGTTAAGATACTGTAAAGAACCTTGTAATTTTACGTTGGCTTGCACTCACACGTGCAAGGGGGACTGTGGAAGCTGTTTTCAAGGTCGTATGCATGTTGCTTGCAGCGAGCCTTGTCGCACCGTATTCATTTGTGGACACTCGTAACTTGAATTTATTTAACAATTGAAATAAATTGAAACAGTACAAATGTCAATTTTTAATTTTTTTTTAGGTGTAAAGTAGCTTGCAACCTCGAGTGCCAGCCTTGCACGCAAAAGTGTGAATTGAAGTGCAGTCATAATAAATGTGGTAGAAAGTGCGGCGTCCCATGCGTTCCTTGTAAAGTGGGTGCTTACATATTTTTGATGTTCATGTTTTTGTCATAGTTCTTGAATTATTATTAGGATTTTTTTTTTTTTTTTTTTTAGGAACCATGTGAGCGAAAGTGCTTCCACCAACAATGTGAAAAATTATGTTATGAAATATGCGATATAACACCTTGTGATAAGCCATGCCGAAAAAGATTAAAGTGCCATCATGCGTGCGTTGGATTTTGTGGGGAGCCCTGTCCTCCGCTATGCCGAATTTGTCATGAAGATGAGTTAACAGAAATCTTTTTTGGTCATGAGGATGATCCGGATGCGAGGTAACTTGAAATTCCCACGATTTTGGGGTGTTTGTGCAATTAATTTTTTACTATTTGCGTCTTTGTTTATTTAGATTCGTATTGCTTAACGACTGTGGACATTGTTTCGAAAACGAAGGCTTAATGCAGTGGATCCAACCAACTACCGATACTAACGAGGCCATTGAAGTGAAAACGCCGGCATGTCCCAAATGCAAGACCCCCATAAGGAGTTGCAACAGAATAATGAACCGAATCAAGGAGGACTTGAAAAATGTTATGGCTGTAAAAGATAAGTTGTTTTTCAGTAACAAGAAAGATGACATCGCACGTAAACGCAAGAAGAATGTAGAGGCATTAAGGAACATGGAAAATTTTCCAATTATAAAAGGTATCTTTAAAAATTTTTTTCAATCAATCTCCCTCTACTTTCGCAAATCATATTCAAGTGTAATGATTATTTAAATGTTTTTTGTAATTTTCAGATTTCCGAGACATAAAAAATTATATTTTCAAACTTAAAGAACTTACTTGCCCAACGAAAAAAAATAGAAAACAATACTTAAACTATAATGAAGTTAATAATTTAGATGTTATTGTTTCTATTTTAGAAGAAATAATAACTGTGTTGAAAAAAAAAAAGAACCTATCCATTCCTGTTGAAAGCATAAAACTTCAAGTTACCACGTTGATACAATGGCTTCCTGGTAAATTGAAAATTTCAAATCAAAGACTCGATGACGTTCAATTGGAACTGAGACGGCTCCATTTAATGGTGAGACAAAATGCCTTTTTTCGTACTTAAAATTTTATAAGATTATACCGTTTCAGTTATGATTCTGGTTTTAGGTTTACATTTACAATCTGTTCTCGGACGATTTATGGAAATTATCAGAATGTAAGAAGGACTATGACCTTTTGATGGAAAAATTGACAAATGTTGGAAAATTTACTTTAACTGTGGAAGCAGACATCATAAACAGTTCAAAAATATTGAATGAGCGGAAAACCGTATTGATCGAGCGGGCTATGATAGTAAAAGCTATGGGTCTCGCCAAAGGTCACTGGTACAAGTGTCCAAATAACCATGTCTATGCCATTGGCCAATGCGGAGGTGCCATGGAGCGTTCCAAATGCATCGAGTGTAAAGCTGTCATTGGAGGAGAAAACCACCGGCTCGTGCAAGGCAATGCACTCGCGACGGAAATTGATGGAGCTTTAAGACCTGCTTGGCCAACGGCATTACGCTATTGATTGAAATAATATACATACATTTTAAACGTAAAGCATGCATAAATATATTATTATTTTATAATATTATGTAACTACATGTATCAAGTTCTACTTCTTAAACATAAAAAAAAGTTTATATAATACGCTCATACTTTCTAAAAATCATTAAAAAATATTATACACATAAATATAGATTTTTACTGGAATAAAATTTTTTGTTTTTCATATTAGTATAAACATGTACTATTATTGTATTCTGAGCAGTCGTGTAATATGGCTTATACCTACTAATTTTAATATCTTACGATGATGATTATAACGGTTTAAATTTCGTATTATTATCCATCGGTTTTTTGAGTTTAACAACGAAGATGAGGCATCATCGATGACACGGTCAATCTTATTTTATACGCAAAAATAGCTGATTAGTTAAAAGAAAAAATCAAGGGAACAATACATTTAGAGCATAACTCTTGTTACGACTGCAAAGCTACCAAATTGTTTCGTCTTACTTCATCGATGCGCGTAATATTGTTCTTTGAGTAAACGAAGTATTAATGAAGATGTAAACACCACAGATAATACCTTCGTTTCACACGGAAAAAGTAAACATGTACATGGCGTGTTATGTTGCGCCAATTTTCAATGCTAAAGTATTTACAGTTAAGGAGTTGAAAAAATAATCAATATAGCAGTAGCCAGTTCTTTATTGGAAAAAAAATTTTATACAAGTACAAAAATCTCCTTGAAGTAAAAAAAATTATATTCGACTTTTGCATAGACTCCATTGATATTATTATTCACAGCTATAAATAAAATAGAAAAACATTAAATCATCTGAAAGAAAAATCTAGTAAAAAGATTATAAGATTGTTTAGATATCTAAACTCCATTTGGAGCAATTATCTCCAGAGATGCCGAGATTGCCAGAATCCAATAAATCTGCTAGATCGTATTCCGGCATCTCTTTACCGATTAAAGTTTTCAGTTGGACCGCACACATGATGTAATTGTCAAACGATATAGTTCCTTCCTCGGTACCGTATCGGCGCACCAAAACATTGAGTACTCTGCTGTTCAATCGGTAACCGGCGCTGTTCAACGCACGTCGCAGTTCAAATGCGCTCAAATTGCCCGAACCGTCTTTGTCGTACAGGTGAAAGGCGGCCTACGGAAAATAAAAATTTATTTTTACTTATAAATGGGTGCGAAAATCGCTCATGTCGGATGTATAACATGTAGTTATCTATTTTACCCTCCACATTCTGATGTCGTTCCACAGACTGGTAAACTCCTCGAAATTCAATTTTTCAGTACTGTCTTTGTCGAGCATAGCAATGATACTTTGGCAAATATCTTCGTTGAAGCCTTGGTCCTGCATTTCTACAAAACAATATATAACACAGTAAAAAACTTTTTTTTTTTTTTTAAAGAAAAGTAAAAATTCAAAGTTGGATGAAATATAATAGAAATAAAATTNGACATTATCATTTATATTACAATACTGTTAACTCTTTGTCTGATGACGAAAGTGCAACCATGTGGCGGTTATTTTTTATAATATTATACATACTCATTAATACACCAATAAAAATGCGCTATTATGAGTGGAAAGAACAAAAAAGAGACACGTCAAATTCTCGCTTCGTGCTTTGAGGATTAGATCACGGTATCGATGTATTGCTATTTATAGATGAAGACGTGTTACAAAAACTATTTTACATGATAGCTAACACCCAATTAATAATGGAAGCCCTTACATTTTGCATTTAACAGAAAAAATGAGCGGAAGCATGATTATTTAAATAATTTTACCCTGAATATTAGATTATTATTATTATTATTATTATTATTATTATTATTATTAAAGATCTTAAATTAATTAATAACGTTACCAATACGTACCCTTTCGTCAACCTCCCCAACTCCGACTTTTTCATCGTTTTCTCTGTAAAGAGAAAAAAAAAAAAAAACAAATCATTAGGATGAAACATGATTATTCCCTAATAAAACAACGTTACACTTACTCCATGCTGTGTTTGTTTTCAGAGAATATTCGGAGTAAGAATTCCCCTTCTTCGCTTGGTTCAAAAGCACTAGGAATTATGCAGTANGAAAAAAAAAAAAAAAAACAAATCATTAGGATGAAACATGATTATTCCCTAATAAAACAACGTTACACTTACTCCATGCTGTGTTTGTTTTCAGAGAATATTCGGAGTAAGAATTCCCCTTCTTCGCTTGGTTCAAAAGCACTAGGAATTATGCAGTAAACTCCAGGCGGTAATTTAGCACGATACGTTATTTCTCGCATGTTAGTAAATAAGCAGTTTGGAACCACAACCCTGTGTTTCTTGAAAAAATTCGTATCCAAAGGCTTTGGCAGCTCATCTGGATTTTTCAACTGAAACCCAATAATGTGTTAATTAAATTCTCAAGTGAAGGTGCGGGCAACCGAAAAAAAATCTATAATTGACTTTACGTGATAGACTGCGAAACCAATAGCCAGGGTACTAGCACCAATTTTCCTCATAGCTCTTCTATGTTTTTGCATCAACGCGATAATGACGGTGCACTTGTCGTCACCTTCATCGGGATGCTCCAACGTGATGCGATACTGCGGGTTACACGAGAAAGTTTCTAAAAACAAATTTATATTCAATGATATGTGTCTTATAGTGTCTTGACAAAAAAAACTTTTTTGTTTCCCAAAAAGTATTACCCAAGTAGTTTCGGCAACCACCGGCAGTGACTCCTTTTACCCATTCGCCCTCAAACATACTAGTTTTCCACTTTTTCTTTCCGGCGTTCAAATCGTCCTCCGTCAAGGAATCCGGATTCAAGTTGCAAATTTCAATGTGTGCAAATTCTTTTTTGAAATCCTCGAAGCACATCCAGAATTCACCGTCAGTGTCGAAAGTTAGGCATAATTTCTTTTTAACATCCGCAGGGACCTTCCTCCACGACAGAGAGCTGCAGCGTAAAAAATTCGAGGTGAACCACATACGTTAAACCATTGCCAAGGAGACAAAAAAAAAAAAAAACCCCAAATAATTACTAGTCACTCCAGTCGCCATTCCACTCGTCCTCGTTACCCCACGGGTTCCTTATTCTCAGCAGCTGAAGTGGCTTCGTATCACCGTGCTCGACAATATCTATCACTTTCACTTTGGTGATACTATAAGCGTGACCCTTGATCAAACCCGACGGCATACGGAGTTCCACTATATGGGGATCCGCCTGCAACCGACCTGTATATTAGTATATAGGGTCGGTGGGACAAAATAATGCAAAAAAAAAGGTAAACCTACCTCGACCGAGCAGCCCATGAGGGAGTTTCTCTCGTACGCCTTGAGCAAAATATCGAATAGATCGGGTGGGGCGTTGGCCATATCGATCATCTCGGCAACGCCACCAGTCAGGTCCACCATGGCCTCCAGGGCCGAACCACCCTTGAGACACTCGTAGCAGCCGTGCAGCTTTGCGTAGGCCTTTTCCAGCAGAGGAGTCCAAAATTCGTTGCTCGTGCCCGATTTCAGGTTCAACAACTGGCCGTTCAACAATGGCAGCCGATCATCGACGACGACGTCGACCCACTTGCCGTACTGCCAGAACCTAAGGATGACCACCACCAAGACACGAGTGATGGTTTATTTTACATCAATCACCGTTAATTTTCCTCGGTATGTTGTAACGTTAAGTCACCTGAAGTGGAATATGCCGGCGTAATTTTCTCCGAAGCCCTGGTCCCGGGGTATGATTTTGCAGAACAAGTTGGGATTCATCGTCAGGTTGGCCAGGGGGGAGAGCATCCAGCAATCGCCGAGCTCGCCTTGCTCGACGTCGAACCTGGAGAAGCCGTCGACGAAGAACTGGGGGTCGTCGACTAAATCCTGCAAGCAAAAGGGTGTTTTATCGGTAAGGAAATCGGTATTTTACGCTGGTATATATCCATCGGTAAACGAGTGAGGGTTGAATTTTTACGTGCCTTAGGGCGCTTCCATTCGATGAGTCTGTCTGATTTTTCGGAGATGACCAGGGCCACGTCGGAAGCTGGAAACTCGGGATCTTCGAAGAGACGCCCCTCATCCAGGCATTGCTGTCTGAGCTGATGGAAGTCTTGGGTTAGACGTCTCGATTTTATTACCGATTCGTCAATCTGTAAGTACGTATACAATTTTTTTTTTTTTTTTTTTTTTTTCTATTAAATAAGGGCATTGGGATTTTTTTTTAGCTTAATTTTTCTTAATGGCAAAAGAGGCACTGGTAAAGACATACTTTACGTACGTGACTGTGTACACTCGATCAGTAAAAAATGAGGATATGAATGAGAGTCGAGGTTGATTGGACTCATCGACAAGACGATCTTATTATATTGTCGTATCGAGAATGTCCGTAGCTGTTGAAACAACTCATTTGACCATTTTATTTAAAAAAAAAAACAAGATTTGAGTTAAAAAGAAAGGTTTCATGTACATTTTTCTTGAAACCTACCACTTCGGAGAAGAAATTTCTCAATGTTCAAGCAATAATATTTCGTATTAAAAAATTATTCAAATGCCAAGTAAAAACGAGTATATGTGTCAACTAAGCATGTACGAAAATAAATTATGACATTATCATTTATATTACAATACTGTTAACTCTTTGTCTGATGACGAAAGTGCAACCATGTGGCGGTTATTTTTTATAATATTATACATACTCATTAATACACCAATAAAAATGCGCTATTATGAGTGGAAAGAACAAAAAAGAGACACGTCAAATTCTCGCTTCGTGCTTTGAGGATTAGATCACGGTATCGATGTATTGCTATTTATAGATGAAGACGTGTTACAAAAACTATTTTACATGATAGCTAACACCCAATTAATAATGGAAGCCCTTACATTTTGCATTTAACAGAAAAAATGAGCGGAAGCATGATTATTTAAATAATTTTACCCTGAATATTAGTACTTACTTAGTGTTACTGTAATTGTCTTATGATAAATATGGTAGTAAAGGAAATATTGAGACGTACCACTTTGGGCTCCACGACCGTCTTGAGGCAGACCTCAGGATTATCCTGGACAGGCTCCGTTTCCATGGCTGATTATCTTTAATAAGAATCCGGGATAAGTGATGGGTAGTGCAGTTTCTGTAAACAGTTTTTTTTCCTTCTTCAAGAACTCAATTAACAACGAAAAAAAGCTTCTCTTTTGCGTAAAAAGGATGACTGTTTAATCGTAATTTACATAAGGTTCTGAATATATATAGTTTAATTTTCATGGTCAAAATTCAAAACAATTTTATCCATTTCATAGACTTATCTCGTTATGACTAGAATATAAAAGACCGTACTTAGAGGTGCTAGATACTAGCTATTTTTTTCGACGTTAATAAGAAATTTAAGATTATCTCAAACGCTTTTTTCCATATTTGAACGATATCGAATTTCAAATACATTTTTACAACGAAGAAAGTGAAAATATTTTTGGTTCGTTAGGTTTTATAAAAAGTAAATGGAATTTTTTTAAAGTTTCGCGTTCCCAAGTTGAGAAAAGAAAGCTACGTGCTGATACCCAACCTTTAAATATTTTTGTAATCTCGCAGAATTTTAGAACACAAAAAAATGCATCTCGAAGGTGCGCCTCAAATAAAAGTTTTTAATTTTTTGAGTAAAAAAAAGGAGAGTTTTCCCAATGCAACATTATTTTCTGCAGAAAAATATCTTTGTATATTATTCTTGGTCTAGTATAGGTAATGAAAATGAAAAAACCTATTACAACGCACCTGTGTATTCTCGTTTTAAAAGAATGTCCAATGACGTTCTCGAAGCTCCAATAAGTGAACTGGTTATGACGATACTAATCGAAACAGTTATCGGTGCTCAAAAAATAGAAAAAAATTTTTATATAACCAAAGGGGGGGAGATACTCCCTCCGTGTGCCTACTGTGTTAATGTATAATTTATCTTTTACACCTTGGCTGTAGAAAGGTATTTCGAGAACTTTTGTCGGTGTGAAAACTGAGTTTTTATGCAAAATAAAGTTATGGTTTTTTCCACATTAAATTACAAGCGTATAAGTTTTGAACGAATATAAAGCTGGACACCTTTATTGCATTATATTTATCAAAATTAGTAATACAACTAATAAATAATGAAAAAATTACAAATCAGTTTTGGCTTGTTGCTTGAATTGTATCACTATGTAGATGTATACGTGATTTAATTTTGAGTCAACATTAATATCTTTATCGGTGAAGCTATAGATTCACTAAGATTAATCATAACAGTTTCAATCACCAATAACTTCAACATATTATTTTTCCATAACATTTTGTAAATAGTTTATGCAGGAGCCTCAAGTAAATATGTGGTGGTAACAACGTAACGGCTTAAAAAAGTTACGAATATAGTACTTGGTATAAAACTGGGGGTCTTTAGTAAAGTTTTTACAATATATTGTGCATACATTTTCATACATATTTATTAAATATTCACATAAAACTTTAGATTGTTCGACAAACTTGAAGGCTTAAATACGTAGATAAATTTTTTCGGCCTCAATATCAAGTTTCAATGACTCGATCAATAAGAGATAACTAAGAAACAATAAAAAACTAATTAACGTGAATAATGAAAATTTAGACAAATTTGTCGTAGTGCGAGCGCATGTCACATCCACCTTTAATAATATCTGTAAGTTGGTAACATACAAGTTTAAATGCCATCGAGTCGTATTGTTCCCAAGACTGCACTGATACTCGTATAGGATGCTCAGCGGAATTCGTTTGATTCGACAACTTACTTACACCTCATGATTTGAGATCTAAAGTTATAAAATTAAAAGTGTAGAAGCTATGAATAAAATCTGAAATCTAATACATACTTGCTGTGCATATAAAATTTTTTATACCAGTTTAGCTGGGCTAATATTGAACGTATTCATGTTAAGGCACCATACATTTGTTATTTACTGAATTGTATGTAAGACAATGCTTATCTTTACTGTCTAAAGCAAAATGATTTCGAAAAAAAGATTATGACAATATTTATATATTATATGTAAGTATATTCAAGCTGATTGTAAAGAGAGAAAACTAAGTATAAATGAGACCTTAACTCTGATGTTAACCAACATAATATATAAAGATTACCTTACAAAAATAATTCTTTATTAAGAGTAAAAGTCCCTTGAAACATTTCTGTGTAACCTTTTACTTTCGGGGAGCAAAGTTCTTATAGTTGGAAAGTTTAAACCGTTTTTGTATAATTAATAATATTTTGTACAAAAACATTTACAAAATTCCAAGAAAAAAATTACGTTGTACATACGCAGAGGTAAAAAAATCTTGCTTATATCCAATTTTCAACTAATTGCGATGTTTGTAGACTCTAAGCTCTCGTATTATTATTGGGAGTTTCCTAATTATTGATTTTTTAAATGTAACTTTTTACATCATTGTGCGTCTGAAAAAATATGGATCAATTATTTTTTGGTAATCTGATCTTTGATGGACTTAATAATACATTTTGATGAAAAAACTTTATTTATCACCAAATGCAATAGTGAATAAAGATTTATTTTTATTGCAATTTTTAAAAAATTGAAAATTCTCCTCCTGAATTAGCTCCATGGCTGATTATTTGGATTATTTTTTTCTTCGTTCTCTATAATTTCTTTTACTTTTGTTAAAACTCTACTGCTGATAAACTGTATTAGAGTACGTTATTAGTAATTGATAGTGAAGTGTCTATTAACAAGTTTTTTTTTTTTTTTTTTTTCAAGTAATACTTTTTTATAAGGTTTATTGTCGTATGTTTTGGCTGTTCAGTCACCCAAAATTAAAAACAATAAAATAAAGTTTTCTAAGAAAGTTTCAAAACTCGATTAAATGCATCGATGTTACTGAAATTTAAAAAAAAATGAAAATAAAATTTTCCGCCCTCGGGTGGTTTTGGGAGGCTGGTACTTCCTCAGGCGAAAAAGCAGTTTTCCGGAACTCGTTCGAAAAGTCTCCTTTACGAACCTTGTTACGTCCTTCGCCTTCGGCTCGGGCCGCAAACCTCTCGGTTCGCAAACAGAGACTTTTCAAACTCGTAGGAAAACTACCATTTCCTCGTTTCGGGCGGAAAGTGAGGGCCGAAAGTACTTTCAGTGCCTGTTTCACGGGTGGAAAGTAGTACCTCCTGCCCTAGGGCGGAAAGTACATTCCCGCTCGCAAATAAGAAAAATTAGTAAATTTTGTAGTTGGTGCTGTACATTATCAATATGTTATATGTGACATCTTTCAAATATCTTTCTTTATACATCTTCAAAACAAGACTTGATTGTTTCATGAAATTCTATAATTAGTATATTTTGTATATAATTTCTTAAGAAAAAATATAATATTACAATAAGGGAGTATTATATCTAGGGCTTTAGTATTATATCTCTGATTGCCATTTTTTGATACTCATACTCTCATTCCACCAAGTTTATTTTTTTTTCGGGAGATTAGATTAATTTAATTTATTTTTTTTTGTTCGGGAAATGGTTGTAAATTTTTTTTAATCGAACGATCAGTTGATTTTTTGGACGAGGGGAGGGCTCCGCCCCCTGGACCCCGCACAACCTTTGATGCGAACTTTCGTTTATTAACAATTAACTCTTACTTATTTAAAAAATTCCCTACCTTACCGACTACTTTTTTAGACTTTATTTTATAAAAATGAAATCATACTCAATTTTAAATAAGTGATGCAAAATACAAGTTACCGTTCTTCTTCATGACATCTCAATCAATAAACATAGTTTTATATATACAACACAATTTATAAATAGGGAAGTTCACTAATATCTACACTGCAGTCAAGATATTCTAGCATACCAGCTTTAAGTTTTTGTTTGTACTCAACTATTCTAGTCAATACACTATTCGAAACACCTCCGTTATTTTTTAACAGAGGTTGCAATATCTTAGAATTCATTTAATTTTAAGGTGTTGATATTTATTATATTTTTAAACAAGAAATTAACTGTGTTAAAATATTATAAGTGTATAAATTGTTCATTACAGATTATTAATTTTATGTATGTTCAAAATAATTTATAAATGCATAAAATTGTAAAAATTCTCATCATTTATCTAGAAAAATAAGCTTTGTGTACATTAGATAGACGTTGAATAAATATTTTTCATTTTTAATCCTGTAGTTAAATTTCTATTGAAGTGATCATTAACCAGACAAATTACGTTCTCACTTTGCGCCCTTAAGGAGAAAAATAGGATACGCGACTCGGGAGGAGGCCTTCCCGCCCTTGAGCGCACTTTCCGCCCTTCGAGTACTTTCGTCCCTCGGGCGGAAAGTGCGCCCGCGGGCGGGAAGAAGCACTTTCCGCCCTAGTGGCGTTATATACTATTTTTTAATAGTATTAACAATAACTTTTTGTCAAGTTATGTTTTATATAAAAAAAGATTTGTCATGGATCAATCAAGTATGAACTATTTTTACGTATGAGATCATTAACTTAATGTAGTTTTTAATTTCTAATATATGCATTGTAATACACGTGTACTGTAAAATCAAAATTTTTTCTTAGGACACACAGAACAAATTAATTGATTATGTCAACATCTTACGTAAACTGTAAAAACTATACATATTATAATTACGCAACCAATGTGTTAAGACAATTGAAATTCAATCAAATATTGAACCTTGTATGATATATATTAAAAAAATTTTACGTATGGATGTATCATTTATATTGCGAATAATACACATTTTTATCATAGAAAATTTAGAAATAAAATTTGAGTTATCTAAAAGAAAAAAGGATTAATGGGTGGGTTTTTGCCTTGAAATAAATATTTACTGATAAAGAAATAAGTTATTTATGTGATTCAAACACGTTTGATATTACAATGAGATTTGTATTAGTATAAATATAATATCAGCACATGAATATAAAATAAATTATATTTCACAAGAGTAAAAGAGTATGTGATGGACACTTTTTTCACAAAAAAGCATTTCTTATACTATATAAACAGTAAAAATCAGTCATTTGCAATATCTGCATGACATGTACATGTATCAGATCGTATGTAAGATAAACTATTTATGAGCCAATGCTCTTCTTAACTTTACAAAAATATTATTTTCAAAACAGTAAGTAAAGAAGCCGTCTGATGGACTAATGTGAATTTAGAGTTTTTTTTTATCACAAAGTTCGTTGGCTATTGTTTTAAAGACGGTGGAATAATTTTTTTTTTTTTTTTTTTTTTTTTTTTTTTTTTTTTTTTTTTTTT